GATTTATGACGAAAATACTCCATGAACCCATGATTTCTTTCTATTCCTAGTTTATGCCTTTATAAAGTGGGTTGCTTGATAATGAATGTATATGAATCGAACTTGTTTAAATGTCTTTAGATTGTTGAAGTATGTCATTACTCATGCTTAGTTTATGGTGTATTGTTGGTGTATTGGTATGAGAGGCTTATGGCCTTAAAGGCAAAGTATGAGAAATTGAAGTGTTATCATGACATTGTATGAATGAGAGTTCAATGAAGATAATGTGATCATGTTATGAATGTAAAGGTGTTGTTGTAGGTTGTTCACTGATTTGGTTGCATAATTACTACCCTATTTTCCATGCTCTTTGATTCCATTACATGCCTTCAAGGTGTTTGACAAAATGTCCAACTATGGAGAATTGATGAATCGATGCTTTAAAGCTTGAGTTATGAGATGTATGGAAATTCCATAGATGTGTTGATGACACTCATGAATGTTGATGATATAATATGAAGGATTCTTCAATATAAAGTATACCTTGAATTGGTAGGGCTTATGCATCATTTTCTTGTATAAATGATTATATTGTTGATTGTTGAATCCTTGGATCGGTAGGCTTATGGCACCCTTCCACACATGCTTATAATGTACCTCGGATCGGCAGGCTTATGGCACCCTTCCATTAATGATAAGTAATGAACCTTGGATTCGGTAGGCCTATGGCACCTTTCCATAAAGGTTAATGATGAACCTTGGAATCGGCAGGCTTATGGCACCCTTTCATGTGTGATGATGTCAAAGTAATGAACTATTCTATGGGAATGTAGGCTAAGCACCGAGCGGATTTGGTTAGATGGAAACTCCCCCGACAGTTAGGCATGAGTTTCAATGATCGTCTACCTTATCCCATAAACTATGTGCCCGCATAGGAAGCTAGTGGATCCATTAAGCTATATATACCGGTCTTCCTTAGGCAAGTAGACCACCTCTTTTCGGTGTGGGGACTCATGACACCGGATTCCATGACAAGCTCTCATGGTCTATGTCGGTTAAATGCTTACTTCCCATCATGTGAGATTTCATTATGGTTTCTTGATAGGTTCTACAAAGTGTAGGTAGTAGTATGGGATGCTATCTACACATGGCACGAGTAGGCTTTGAAGATACTAAAGTGAGTTCCCTAAGTCTAACGACTATTATGTGAAAGTCCCCTTATGTGCTTGAATGTCTCCAAAAATGGTTTCTTAAAGAATGTTGGTCTATTGATGTTATGTTGTAAAGGAAATGTCCTTATCTAAGGTAATCTTGAGGAACACTTAAGTGTGCTTGAAGAGGTTGTATGGGCGGTCACTTCTTGTCTTACTCAAGTGTGTCTTAAGGTTATATTAGGTAGAGGTCCTATGGTAATGAAATGGCATGTGTTCTTTTAAAGTTAAGCATGGGTTGTATATGAATATATGTTGAGTATGTATACGGTTGGCTATGGTTTTATATGTGAACATTGACTTAGTATGTTATATTGTAATGGTAAATTTCCTTATCTATGGTAACCCTTAGGAATACTTAGGTGTATATGAAGAGATTGTATGGGCGGTCACTTCATGTTTCACTTAAGTGTGGCTTTGGGTAACTTGAGATAGAGGTCAAGAAATGATAAAAAAAAGCTTACTTGTATTTTTTTTCATGAAGTTTTACCAAATGGCATAAAAGCATGTTTCTCCAATAAACGTCCTTTTTAGCATGTTTTTGCATGGCTTCCATGCTTAGTACTTAATTGTGCTAACCCCTTTCTTTCCCTTTTTGACTAAAGTGTAGGGATTTGGAGATGATGACATGTCATGGCTATTTGATAGGTTTCTAAGTGTTGAAGATGAAGACTTGGTGAGTCCTCATATATTCGAGGACAATACCCCATATGTTCTTTTATGTCTTTTTAAGTATTGTTTAAGTTGTGTATGGGATTGGTCCCGAATTTTGTACTCTAAAGTATTAGATGGTTTTGAGACATCATGTATAAAGTCTAGAAAGTCTTCCGCTTGCTATTGTTTTTTTGTATGAAATGTTTTCTTGGTAAAGAAAGTTTTTAATTCATTATGGTTTTTAGTGTTATGCGATGAATGAATGCTAAGAGGCTTGTATTAGACCTCCGAGAGGTCGAGTACGCCGGTTACGACTAGGGGGTGCTCTCGGATCGTGACATATTATAAGTAATTTTATTGTTTCATTCTTGCATTCTTAGTATTTAAATATAAATGAAATACTTTTGGCATACCTGAATTTTAATAATTAAACTAGTATAATTTAGTAAAATAGTTTATTGACAATTTCTTTGGGTTCGATAATCCGTTATTTTAGAGCCACTATATTACTTGCGCGACCAAGTTTTTAAGTTTCAAAAACCTTGAAAAAAATATGTTAAAAGATAAAAATAATGAAAAAATATACTCCCTCCGTTTCATAAAGAATGACCTAGTTTGACTTGGCACGAAGTTTAAGAAAATAAAGAAGACTTTTGAATCTTGTGGTCCTAAATTAAAATTATGTCAAATGTACAAAATTGTCCTTTAATCTTATGGCCTTAAACATGCCACGTGGAAAGTTGAAAGTAAAATGTTACCAAAAAAAGAAAAAGGTCATTCTTTTTTAAACAGACTAAAAAGGAAAGGAGGTCATTCTTTTTAAAACGGAGGGAGTAAGTAATATTTAGAAATTATAACAAAGTAAATACTTTTATGTATAACATACGAAAAATGCATAGATTCCCCCCTGATCTTATCTCGAAAAGTCAGTTACACGCTTAAACTATTATGACGACCTATTACACACCTTTACTATTTAAAAGTGAATTTAGTTACCCCCGGGATGTGTAACACCACTCTCACAATATGTGGTGTATTACACTCGCTACCACATCATCACTGACATGTTAGCGCCATGTCAGAAATTTAAAAAAATTATGTTCCTTTTTATTTTTAATTAACTTTTCTTTTGTTAACTTTATTCTACACTAATTAATCTCTAATTAATTAACAAAAATTCTCTAATAATTATATTTTCTTCATAATAAAATTACAAAGAAAAAATTTCAACAATGGCCGCCAAGAACACTAATCAAAATCTGGAGCTGATTCATGGAGTAGGAAATTCTTCTGTTCACTCAAAGAAGCCCACCATAACTATGGCGGCTAAGAAACCCCCAAAATTCTATTCCGCAAATGACATTAAGAAACCCTTTGTTAACAAACACAAATCCAAACCCACAAAACTTAAATTGATAATAAGTAATTTGCTAAGCAAGCTGAGAAGAAGTCAAAGAAGGAAGAAGGAGAGATTTTGGCTTAAAAGAAAGAGGAGAAAAATGAGCTTCCTCAAGAGGGTGGGGGTGAAGAAGAAGAAGGGGATGAGTTGTGAAGAAGAAGAGATGTGGAGGGTGGGTGGGGTTTAATTGAATTTTGATTTATTTTTTCTACTTTAATAAATCTGACGCACCGATTTTTATTTTTTTAAAAATTATTTTGCCACATCAGTTTTAGGGGGTAAATAAATTCACTTTTAAGTAGTAAAGGTGTATAATAGGTCATAATAATAGTTTAAGCGTGTAACTGACTTTTTGGAACAAGTTCAGGAGGGAATCTATACCTTTTCTCGTATAAAATAATTTTTAAAAATTATATATATAATGTCGGGTTGGTTTGATCTCGAGTTGACTTTTTAGTTAAAACTAAACCAATCCAAATATAATCGATTTTTTTTCAATCAAATCAAATCAAACCAAACCATTAATCGAATTTTTTTCCGATTTAACTCGATTTGCTGTTTGATTCAATTTTCGGTGAAGACCGATCAAATGTCTATTTGCTTGGGAATTTAACTACACTTATATAGGTGCAACACTTAAATGACATGTGATACATATGTTAAAGACCAATCAAATGTCTATTTGTTTGGGAATTTAGCTACACTTGGCACATGAAATTTCTATATTATAGCTAGTTAAGTTCATTATCTTTATTCTTTTTTATATATTAGTCTGATAGTTTGAAAAAAACAAAATAATATTCAGATAGAAAATATTATAATTTAAAAGGATATTAATTAATGATAAAATATTTAGTACAAATTTTTTTTTTTTTTATTTATTTTTAAAAATTAGTAATAGATGATTTTTTTTTAAAAAAAATTATAAAGTGAAGAATTAAATCCCATAGATAAAATAAAAAATTGTATAGCCAATCAATTGTGTCTACTAAAATTCTCGATGCTTTTTTAGTTTTTTAAGGTATTAATTTTATTTTTAAATTGTTCAAAAGTGAAAAGCCGCCGGTCTTCTTGCAGATTTTCTTGACTGGATTTTATGAAAGTTTGACTAATCAAATCATAAAAGAGTTTTATTAGTCAAATTATGTCTTCTCCTTTTTTGGTATGAGTCAATTCTTGAGAGAGGCAAAATGATTTTGTACTTACTAAATTAGTGGGAATTTGTGGGGGTTTTTACATAATAAATTAATAATAAACATGTTAATTCACGTGACATAAATATTAAATATTTTTTTCATTGTAATTTGTATGTTTACTTTAATTTGATATAAAAATTGAAGAGAAGTATTTGATTATATTCCTAAATTTAGTGTGAATTATTAGTTTTATTCTTGAACTATGCGAGTCTTAAAAATATTTTTTTACTTGATTAACTCAACTTATATATACCTAGATTTTGCAATATAAGTGAAATATACCCCTAAATTCTTGCCAAATTTAGAGGTGTTTTCGACACCTGTAGACTTTTAATTAAGAGTCTCATACTTTTACAAGAATTTGAATTGAAAAATCAGGATATATCTAAGTTTAGTTAGTCAAATAAAAGTATGTTTTTAAGCGTCAACAATTTAGGTTTGATGGTGTTTTCAATACTTCCCTCTAAAAAAAATTTAAAAAAATAAAATAAAACTTTTGAGGTAGAAGAACTTTGACATGTGATTTTATATGTCACCTGGGAAGGAAGTTTCATCTCAACATTTTCTTGATTTTTTGGCTTTTTTCAAGAACCCAATAAAGTAGCAGCTACCCACTGCCTTGATGACCAGAAAATCCACAATATCTCTTGATTTCAGCTTATGGGTTTCGTCCACAATCAGGTTTTGAGCAATATACTTTGTGAAAGCTTGAATTTTTTAGTCTGAATTTGAGTTCTTGATTTTGCTTGAAGCTTCCTTTTGCTTTAAAATTTTGTGGGTCTGTAGAATTTCCATGTTTTCAAGTGTTTTGAACTTAGAAATGAGCCAAAGATGTGATCTTTTTGCTTAAACTTAGAGAAAATCTTCAAGATTTTTGTAACAATTTGAAAGTGGAAACAAGTGTTATGGAAAAAGAAGTTAGTTTTCAAAGTGAAAAAATGGAAAAACAGCAAAATGGGGTTATGGAGAAGCAGAAAAGTTTTAGGATAGTAATGGAGAGGCAAGTTAGTTTTAGTATTGAGAAGAAAAGGGATAAGGAATCACCAGGGAAAAGAGGGGATGCCCCTCTTCATCTTGCAGCTAGAGCAGGGAATTTAGGAAAGGTGAAAGAAATTATTCAAAAGTTTGATAATAGCAAAGGGGTTAAGGAGTTGTTGTCCTTGCAAAACCAGCAAGGTGAGACTGCATTATATATTGCTGCAGAAAATGGACATACTTTGGTTGTTGTAGAGATTTTGAAACATTTGGACCTTCAAGTTGCTTCTCTTGTAGCAAATAATGGATATGATGCATTCCATGTTGCAGCAAAGCAAGGTCATCTTGGTAAGTTTCAATTAATCATATGAAGTTCTGATTTGGTGTTGATGCAATTAATCTTTCATCCATACCGGTAGTCGTAGTATTACTCATGTAGTTTCTTGTTATTAAATTTCTGTTACTATCTACTGTTTCTTATACTTCGATTATCTCACTATTTTGGTGTAGTTACTGTTCCTTTTGTTCAGAAGGCTTAGTCATGCTTTCTGTAGTGTTTTGTCATGATTTCTTCACTTCTGTTATTTCTTTTTATGGTGATCAAATCCGTGTTATGCTCTATTATTCTCAATTACATGGTAAAATATTCAGAGAAGTTGTGAAACTGTATTGTTAAAGATCAAATTGGTCTGACCAATATAACTATACAATTTGAATAACATGATGGCAAAATACATCTCTGCATCAAGCTGATATTATTGCTTCAATGGTCGTAACGCCAGAAAAATATAGCTTAGGTGTTTGTTAGGAAAAAGAAATATTCAGTGGGTAATTGCTTGAAGCTTGTTCTAATGACACATGTCAAACTGGAATTCAGAACGTTCTTTTCTTACTTAAACCCCTTAGTAACTTTTTTCATGGTATGACATTGCAGAAGTACTGAAGGAACTGTTACATTCGTTTCCAAACCTGGTTATGGCTACAGATTCATCCAATTCTACAGCGTTACATACAGCAGCTGCCCAGGGTCATGTTGATGTCGTAAATCTGCTTCTGGAGATTGATTCGAACCTTGCTAAGATAGCTCGGAACAATGGGAAAACTGTGCTCCATACAGCAGCAAGAATGGGACACTTGGAAATAGTTAAGTCCCTTCTGAGCAAAGATCCTGAGATTGGCTTTAGAACAGATAGTAAAGGCCAAAGTGCCTTGCACATGGCTGTAAAAGGACAAAATGTTGGCATTGTGCTCGAGTTAATAAAACCGAATCCTTCTGTATTGGCATTGGAAGATAACAAAGCAAATAGAGCTCTTCATATTGCAACAAAAAAGGGACGGCCACAGGTTTGTGTTTGTCTGTATGTATGTTTCCTGTTAAAAAATCATTTCAGAATTTATGTGTTTACTGGTTATGGCACAGATTTGTTTCAAAACCTGGTTAATGAAGAATAACCGAGCTGGAACAAACAAAAAGATTAGGTTCTTTGGTTGATTAAATGCTCCATTTAGGCAATCCATTGTCCTCCTTTCTTGGGAAATCTTAGTAGCTCAGTTGGTTGACTACCTGAATTTTCACCTTGTGGGTGAGGGTTCGGTTTCCCACCTTTTAATCTCCTCCCCATTTCCCCTTCCCCTACACCCAATTTCTATTTATTTTTTCTTTAAAGAAAAGTGTCCTTCTCTTGCTCTCTCTGTTTTTAGCATTCATGTTGAAATGCTGCTATGTTGCAACTGCAGATGGTACAATGTCTGATATCAATTGAATGCATCGATCTGAATGCCATTAATAAGGCTGGAGAAACAGCTCTTGATATTGCAGAAAAGTTTGGAATGCCAGAGGTTGTTTCCATTCTGAAGGTGGCTGGAGCTGCCCATTCCAAAGACCATGGGAAGCCCCCAAATAATACTAAGCAACTCAAGCAGACTGTCAGTGATATAAGACACGATGTGCAGTCCCAACTTCAACAGAGTCGTCAGACAGGCTTCAAAGTACGGAAAATTGCTAAGAAGGTGAAGAAGCTCCACATTAGTGGTCTCAACAATGCCATTAACAATGCCACAGTTGTTGCTGTCCTTATTGCTACTGTAGCTTTCGCTGCCATCTTTACTGTGCCTGGTCAGTATGTTGAACAGAAAAAAGATGGTTTTTCGCTTGGTGAAGCAAATGTAGCCGATAAAGCAGCTTTCATAATCTTCTTCTTGTTTGACAGTATGGCCTTGTTTATTTCCATTGCTGTTGTTGTTGTCCAGACTTCTCTGGTTGTGATTGAACCGAGAGCAAAGAAGCTACTCGTATTTTGGATAAACAGGCTCATGTGGGCAGCTTGTCTCTTCATCTCAGTGTCCTTTATTTCTCTTGCTTATGTGGTGGTTGGATCGAAAGAAAGATGGCTTGCTATCTTTGCAACTGTGATTGGTAGCACCATAATGATCACTACTATTGGCTCCATGTGCTACTGTGTGGTTCGACATAGGCTAGAAGAGTCAAAGATGAGGAATATAAGAAGGGCAGGGACTCATTCACATTCATACGCTATGTCTGTGGCATCAGATACAGAGCTCTATGGTGAAAGCTACAAGAGGATGTATGCAGTCTAGGAACAAACAGAAAACTTTTTGCCTATGGTATCAAATCTCAAGCTCCATGGATGTAAAGGACAAGTTAATATATGCAGTTCTAAACCATAAAGTTTGGTGAACGTCTCTTCATAGCACGAGGTTCCAAATGGTCTAGCATACGAAGGTTATGCTAGTTAGGAACTAAAGAGAATGCTTCCACTAGTATATGCAATAATACCGCAGTCATATGGCAATTCTCTGATATGGTGTTCTTGCAACACTAGAATTTGCAACCTGAGGCAAGTCTTGCTTAGAAGTTCGAGATTGAGGCTCTAACAAATCATTCAGTTTGGTTTCCACAACATTTAGTAGTTCAAGAGCAAGTTATGTGGGAGTTTCCTACTATATGGCTACAAAAAATAGCAAAACAAGAGAGCAGCTTGGTAGCAAGAAGGTGTAGATGGCTGATATACAAAACAAACTTCTAAATGAAAATGTACAAACAAAAAAGTTATTTTTTTTTGTGATATAATTCATTGTAGTTCTTCTCTTTATAAAATACAGCTTTTTTGCCACTGCTCTTCCAGATGATGAGGTAGAACATTTCTTGCTCCAACTAGACAGTAGCATCTTTGCATGATCAAATACTAACTTCTCAGTTCTCACTCTGCTGACCTTTGATTTCGTATGCTTCTGATCAGTAAAAGAAGAAGAGAAGTTTGTCAACTAACAAACTGAATTAGTTTCTAACAACTTTCACTGTTCTGCCTTCAACTTTCGTGTATCAGTTATTGTAGTTTACTTATGTGGCATGTATATGTCCTGGCATGGAGAGATTTTCACAGGTTCTCTCTGAATTTATCAAACATCAGTATAGGACTGTGAAACAACTTAACCAAAAATGAACTGCCATAGCAGTATGCATATCTGGAACAAAATTGTCTTTTCTGATATGATCAAAATGCAAAATTGATCTTAGAGTTTTCAGTTAAAAAGTAGCATATCAATACAGAAATTTAAGATATGATTCTACAAAAAATGGGTGGGTGACTTTATACCCCTCTATCGAGATTTTTGAGGTGGAGGCTCAGCTCCATACTAAATTTGTCTATGAGTATTTACATCAAGATCCTATCAAGTAGTAATGCTAGCAAAGAAATCTCAAGAGTTAAACATCTGAGCATTGTCTTGGAAATCAAACTTTTTGTTTGTCATGCTAGCTATCAAGGACCCCGAAGGCTTTGATGGTCTGTCATTGATTCAGAGCCACTTCCCACATGTCGAAGTGCAGATCTATGGTGAGAGCTACCACCTTGGCTTCTTCTTGAACTGCTTTTTGAAGTTGTCCGAACTGCATTAGCTGAGAAGCTGTGTCGAACATTCACCTTATGTGTTCTTGCCTCTGTCGAGCGACTGGCTGTCACATTGATCAGCAAAATCACCTCCTTATCTCTGGTATCCTCACACCACCAGCTTTGTGGTATTCCATCAACAGTTTCTTCTAACTTATTGAACTCTTCGTGACGTACCAAGATTTCAGCAGCTTGATCTGGTTTGATGATGCCAGAAGCAGGTGTTACCTGAATAACAAAATCATAAGATAGCAGTGTTTGCAGAAAGAAGTACCAAAACTACAATAATAATACTCCCTCCGCTTTAATTTGTTTGTCTGGTTTTCACTTGGCACGGAGTTTAAGAAAGTAAGGAGGACTTTTGAGTCCTGTATCAAAATGCATTCTAATGCTTGAACTAAAGAGATTTTGAAACGAACTAAAAAGGAAAGTAAGACAAACAAATTGAAACCGAGGGAGTAATAATAATGATAAAATAAACTCATTGGACTCAAGAAGAGGTGTTAGAACTTGGTTAAGCATATGAATAGACATTGTCTCCATTGCCTTGAAACATGTTAACATGTACAAGAAGAGAGAGTTACGACGTACGCGCATCTAGGATATGAAGAACTTACCTCAAGCCACCGGGGAAAACCAAAAGACGCTCTCGGATGATACTCTGATGCTTGCTCATCCTCTTTGATGGTGGATTGACCTCCACAAGTTATCTGGAAAAAAAGTTTGTCTTCTCTGCTTCTGCTGCTGATTCTTAAGTTGTATGTGTCTTGATTCTGAAGAACTATCTGGCTAGTGCTAACTAGAGTTTCCGGAATATAACGAAATTCTTGTAGTAAAGACTTGACTTTTTCATTGTTCTGGAAAATATCACCAAACATTTGTCTCCTAACTGATCTATCAACATGAGCAATTTCAACATGAAACTTGCACCTTACTGGTTTATGATCACTTTCTGTCACTTCCATGCAAGCCTCATACCTACAACACATGAGAAAAATACAAAGTTTCAAGATGATGCAAGCAAGAAGGACCGATGTGACGAAAGCCTTAAGCATATTCAGATGTTAAAAAACAAACGGTCTTAATCATTCAGTGTTCAAATCTATAGACAACATCTTAATCATTCAGATGTACATTCAGATTCAAACGTCTTAATTTTAATAAAAACGAATGCAGCCTTACTGTATAATGGAAGCAACTACAGGACATTGTAAACTGCATTCTACTGAAGGAGTTGCCCTGTTGTCTCTATATAGTACTCGGTCACACCAAGCTGGAATTCGTTTCTTCTCCCCCGAATCATATCCTGAAATTTGAAAAAAGAGATGTATCTAACTGGTCCTTGAAACGAAACGGTTGTTTGGAAAGAAAAAAGTAAGAAGATGAGTTGATTACAAATATGTCTCACCTCCTAATCCTGGTTTTCCCCTTTCAAACTTGTAAGTTGGAGGAAATCTGATGATTGCTTCCCTCATCCCTTGGAAAACCTTACCACTTATCATTTCTGCTCTCAGTTGATCTTTTTCTCGAAGCCAATCAAAGCATCTTTGTGACACAAAGTCCCTTGCTTCATCATACGATATTCCAAAAAGACGATAGTTGAAATCACCAGTGAATATGACCAAGTCAGCTTCACCAAGCTCGGGTCTTCCTTCGTCTGGATTAATTTGTGCAGTCTATGTCATAATAAAAAGAGTTAGTTTAACATGAAATACATAAGATAACAAGATGTGATAATTACTACAATTTCAGGCCCAGACATTTGCACCGCGAAGCATCTGAGCAGAAGATGAAACACCAGCTGCAAGAGAGGAGGATCCATACAAGTCAGATGAGTAAAGAGCCAAAATCAATACATGGAGAAGATAAAAACAGGTAAAAGGAGCATACCAACAGAATTATTTAGAAGGCTGGAGGATTTGGTGAAAACCATTGTTCTAAATATATGGTTAAAATCAGCATTGCGACGGTTGACTGCTTCTAAATGTGCGGCAAAATGACAGTTTGTAAAGCACATTATTCGATCAAAGACTCTTAACCTCAGACCAACTCCACCCTGCATTTGGAAATGTGTAACCATGATACAGTTATATCAGACATTTTATTGTTCCGAAGGAGAAAACAACAGTTCCTGACTGGTTTGAGAAGTGATTTATTATCTAAAGAAGACGAGCTAAACTTACCTTATTACCAATTGCACGCCCTATTCCACACGCAACTGCTCCAACATCTAGGTCCCCCACATGATTCCTTATAGATTTTCTCACCCTGAGTTATAGAGTGGAATCAAGATTATTAGTATTCATAGACAGGAGCCAATGGGATGGCTATTTCACCCCCATTCAGTCAGAAAGACGAATCTTAATTAAGGATGAGGTACGATGAGAAAGACTGGGGAGGACTTCAGCCTACAAAATAGAGAAGAGATCATCCGAATCTACAAAGGTTCATACCATATAGCAATAAGCAAGGCAGCTAGTTGTCTTGATCCTACTCGTTCAAAAGCTGATCCTTCGTTCAGTGCCTTCCCTATCGCATCCTGCCACCATTGTCCAACAGAACTTCCTTCCAGTCCTACCTAAAGTTGACATGAGTTATTAGGATACCGCTACATACATAAGTTTTTACATCTAAATGGAGCATCTTACTGTTAGCTCTACATACACAGGAGTATACATCCAAGGGTGTTAGTCGATAGCTTACAGTTTCTTTCGCAGCAGACATAGCAAGAAAACCTGCTCCCATTTCTACTTCTTGCAACCCAACTACAATAATCCCGACATCTGAAACTGCAGAACCGAGCCATGTTGCAAGTGCTTCCTGGGAGGCCCTTCCTTGACCGACATTCCAGGTTCCAATTAAAACCCTGACATTTTCTTGACTAGTGTATAGATTTTCTTTCTCAGCTAATTGTGGTCGTAAAATGTTGTCAATAGGCCCTGGAGACGTAAGGTTCCATCCACGTATACCACCATGGTTTGCCAAGCTATAAACATAGTCATTCCCAACTGCCATTTTTATTACAGGCCCATTATGTGCAACCCAACCAGCTAGTAAATTCCCATCAAGGTCCAGTGCCTGTACCATACCACTTACGTAGCCAACCCATATTCGAGAACCATGAGCACATAAGCACAGAACTGCACAACGGTGGTGATGAAAATCTTGCAAACGGTTGCCATTCCCATCCCACTGGACAAGTAAACCACTTGAACATCCACTCCAAATCATTCCATCAGCTGCAAGCACAAGAACTTCTGTTTTCTTACTATCTTCTACAAATGCCCCCTTTGTTGCAACTCGACGAACAGCATCTGCAGCTCCCATTATAGCATTACGTGACCGCTGCAAAAAACTACTTCCCTGTGACTTTTCCTTTTTGGATTTAGAAACAAACTTAACGTTTAGATCGTCTTCCGTTGATTGGTCTTGCACTGATGATATATCAACCCGATTCTCAATCTGACCTTCTACATTGTACACTTTCAAGAGTTCCCTATTCCGTGCATCCCTGCAGTTTCCCAACTATCGGAGTTATTAGGAGTGACAACTAATCTGTAAAGAAACTCTTGACTATTTCCTATGACTTAAACGTCAAAAGAAATGCATTGCATAAAATTTCTGATGGAAGCAACAATGAGGGACATACCATAATGAGAAGGATAAAGAACCAGCTGCCCACACTTTCGCCCGTACATGATCAGATAACAGACACTTCACCTCAGAAGATGAGATGTTACACACACCATTTACTGTGACTAGGGTCCTAAGGTCAATCGCTGACCTTTCTACGAGTAAAGCAGCCATATGTTTTTCCTCTGGTGATAAAGAGAGGGACTTCTCAACAGATTCCCATGGCCAGACCTTTATGACTCCACCCTCAGACCCAGACCATATATCACCTGGATCAACAAGCAATTAGTCATAGTTGTCATTTGGAACACAACTAGAAGCAAGAAGTCATTCACCGGTATTTAAAACACTGATATAAGTTATTAGCAAGTGAGTTTCACAATGATCTGTAAAACAGAATAACAGAAGGAAAAATCATAGATTTCCAAGAAACAAAGAATATCTTGTTGGAGCATATGTGTTGAGAATGTTAAGTATATCGCAACCTTGAGCTCATAAAGAGGAGAGATTTTCTATAAATTGAGCTTATAGTAAACGTTGATCTTGGAACATATGTATATTACACATGTGTGAAGGAAAATTAGATATTA